GAGGGAAAAAAAAAAAAAACAAAAAAAAAAAAAAACCAAAAAAAAAAAAAAAAAAAAAAAAAAAAAAAAAAACCAAAAAAAAAAAGCAACCCAACAAAATAAAATCAAAATAATAAAAAGGGAGGGGGGGACAAATACAGACACCAGCACAGCCCCCCCACGGGCGGTGCCTCCGCAGGGACACGGGACAAGACCAAGGACATTGGCTACGTGTGACTTAGGGAAGTGACTCCAGCAGGGGATGAGGCACAGGCTGGTCTCCCTTCCCAGCCTCTCCTCCTCCTCCTCCTCCTCCTCCTGCTCCAGGTGGGAGCTGTTCCCTCAGCTCTCCTCCGTGTCCTCCGCAGCCTCCGGCTCCCGCTCCGGCCCGGCTCGCTCGGCCTTGGGATAGTCCTGCACGCTGCTGGGGGAGACAATCCCACATCCCAGTTCCTTCCCAGGCTGGGAAAACCCTGACCCGGGCCCCAGCTCCCCCTGGATCACCCTGGGAAGAGCCCAGTGGGTCACAGGCAGCCCCAGCCCCCCACACTCACTTGTTGTGGGGCTCCTCGGGTGCCTCCGGCTCTGCAGCTCCCACCCCTTGGCTTTTGTCCTTCTCCTCTGTGCCCTCTGATTTTTGGGACAGGGACTCGCCGTTCACAGGACCTGGCAGGTCTGACAGAGAAAAGAGAGAGAGGCTCAGGCACTTGGAGCCTCTCGTCCATCCCAACCCAAGTGAGCCAAGGATCCAGAGCCACAGGTTGTCCAGGGACACCCGACTGAGCCCGAGGGGACCCCAGGCCTGGCTGAGCCCAAGGGATGCAGCAAGAAGGGTCTCAAAACCTCCACCCCCCAGCCCAGGGTGGATTTTCCCCGGCAGCTCCTCCAGGAGTGCTCTTGCAGCATCCCTGGGCCGTCCTGGCTCCAAGGGTGGAAGATCCCAGTCACCAGTTGCCTGGGCAAGGGCCTGAGCCGGTGTCCAAAGACATCTCTACATTCCCCTGTTGGAGCAGAGCTCAGGCTGGCTGGGAGGAACCATCCTGGGCCAAAACCCAGCCTGGAGGCCCCCAGAGCCCGGGCGTGGGGCCCGAGGTTTGCCCTCTGCCCTCGCTGCGCCAGCACTCCACGCCCAGCCCTTTCCCACCCCTGGCACTCGGGCAAAGCAGGGCCTGGAGGGGCTGATCCCTCCACCACCCAGGCCAAGAGCCACCTCCCCGTGTCCCTGCTCCCCAGTGGGATGGGACATGGCCCGGGAAGGGCCTCGGGATCCCGCCCAGGGGTGTTCAGGGAGCGTTACCAGCATTTGTCTCCTCCTCCTCCCCCTTCTCGTTCCGCGCCTCCGCTCCCGGCAGCTTCTCCTGGCCCTTCTCCGCCTCCCCCTTGTCCTTCTCAGGCCCGGCTTTGTTGGCTTTCTGGAGGGCCTCCAGCTTTGGTCCCAGCACACGGGACTTCAAGCGGGTGTAGACCTCGGCAGCTTTCTCCATCACGTCCTTGTTGGCTTTGTAGCGACGGATCTGCCCCGGGGAGCGGGAGGAGGGACCCCCTTAGAGCCTGGGGGGGGGGTGTCCCACACCGGCTCCAGGGAGGGACTGAGCCCTCTGCTCTACCTTCTTCAGCGTGGCCACCACGTCCGTGTGCTTCTGGAGGATGTGGGAGGTGACCTGGAGCGTCCCCAGCTCCTCCAGAGCGTTCAGGCACCGCTTGATGTCCTGTGGGGTGGCACCGGGTGGCACCGGGCTCAGGAGTGTCCCCGAGGGTGCCCGGGGAGCTCCCAGCACGCCCAGAAGGGAGGAGGAGGAGCAGCCCTGGCACTGCAGCCCAGCACTCACCGGGTTATCCACCTTCAGGGCAAACTTGACCTCACTGTGAAGCTTCTGCAGCTTCTCCTCCACCGTGGGCTCTGGAGCAGGGACAGAGACAGGTCGAGGGATCAGGACACCACTGGAGGCCCTGGCACTGCCCAGAGCCTGGGATCCACCCTGGATCTCCCCCCCCAGCCAGGGTCTGGTGTCCTCCTGCACCTCCAAGGTCAGCAGAGCCCCAGGGAGCTCTTCAGAGAGGATGGATTGGGGTGGCCCAACATGGGGAGGGGGTCTCAGTGTCTCTGCACTGTAAATGCTCCCTGATGCCATCCTGGGAAAGGCCCCGGAACAACCTCACTGTTCCCTGTGGGACACATCCATCCCTGTCCCAGGGATGGAGGAACCACCCCTGGATCCCTTCCCTCCCTCTCCTCCCCTCCGTGGTGGGAAGCAGTGGCTCTCTCACCCTTTTTCTTCTCCATCCTCCTTTCAGGGATGGGGTCGGATTTCTTCCGGCCTCGTTCCACTTTCAAGGGTCTGTGGGAGGGAAAGGGAAGAGGGAAGAGGGTTGTGGTGAACCCCCCGCTTGCCACTGGGCTACCAAGGCTCGTGGCACTGCCTGGAGCACCCCAAGTGCCCTGCTGCCCCCCAGCCACGCTCACCCCCAGGTCCCAGCTCCCCTGTGCCCCATTCCTGGGAATGCAGCCAGGAAAAGGGAACACCAGGGGAATGTCATCCTGGTAACCCCCAACACCTCCTGCACCCCTTGGGCTCGGGAGAAGGGGGGAGGGACAAACCCAGCCCCTCTGTGGGTGCTGCACCCCAGGGAGCCCCAGCCCAGGGACACCCCGTTCCCAGGGGGATGGAGGGAAGGGAGGGAGGGGGGAGGAGGAGATGCTGACTTGCTCCGTGGCTTCTCCTCTGCTCGGCCCCTCTTCTCCTTCTGATTTGGTTTCCTTGACAACTCCGAGGGCTGTTTCTTTGCAGGCTTCTTTACCTTGGAGGAGAGAACAATGCAGGGAGAGCGGCACGGCCCTGCCTGCTGCGGCGGGGATGGCACGGCCATGGCACGGCCTCACCCCGTGGGCAGGGACACCCTGTGGGCAGGGACACCCCATGGACATGGCACAGTGTCACCCCATGGCCCATGGTCACCCCATGGCACATGGTCATTCATGGCCACATGGTCATCCCATGGCCACACTGTCACCCACCCACCACAGTCACCCCACAGCCATGGCACATGGTCACCCCACAGCCATGGCACATGGTCAC